TTCACTCGACGGCCGACACTTCCTGGGTGCCTGCTCTGCGCCTGGCCTGCGTGGGCGCCACCAAGGGCAGGAAGCCGGGCCCCTCCCTCTGGGCAGCCCAGGTCAGCGGAGCACCTATCAGAATGGCATGGGGGCCGGGGAGGGGAGGGGCACACGTGCCACGTGCTCAGGAGAGAGCGAGCAGCTGGCCGAGGCTGGTAGAACTGGAGGTGGGAAAAGTGAGTGAGGTGTTGAAGGGTGAGTAGGAGTTTGCAGGTGGAGCAGACTTGAAGAGCATTCCTGGACACAGTGTGGACAGAGGTGGGGAGAGCGGGGGGTGCCTGAAGGGCGGTGGGCCCCAGAGGCCGGGGGCTGGCAGATGGCACCAGTGAGAGCGGACGGGTCTACCCCGGGCAGACGTGAGAGCAGGGGAGCACTTGAGGGGGCCTCCGTGACCCACCCACGGGCTCTGGGCTCAGACAGAGACGCCCGAACGCCGCCCAGGGAGCCCAGGAGAGCAGAGGGGAACGCGTTGGCCCTCTGCACCTGCGCCGTCTCTGGGCCGGGACCTGAGGGCAACGGGCTCCTGCCTAGTTGGGGTGACGTCCACGAGGACCCGTGTTTCCACACCAGCCTCTGGAGGGCAGTGAGGACAATGCGTGGGGAGAATCCAGACTGCATGTCCCCTTTTCTGGAAGCTTCCCTGACCCAGCAGTCCCCTATAAGGGTCCTCAGAGCTCTCTCCCTGTGAGCGGGCAGAGGGCAGGATGGGAGGGGGCGGCCCGGGGGGTTGTGTCATAAGCACGCTTGACCCGCAGAGCAGCCTTAAGAGCCGGGTCACGTGCCCGCCGAACAGAGGAAGCGGCTGGGGCTCAGGAGGTAGAGAGACAGCTCGTGGGGGGCCCAGCAGGGCACGCCGGGACCCCAGGGGTATAGGGAAAGGGGCCTCCCCAAGTCACGGGGGAGGGTCGGACCAGGGCACCCGTGGCCTGGAGCAGGGCCACTGAGGCCGCCCACTCTGCCCAGGAGACTCGGGTCTGTCCGACTCCCCGACCCTGCCCCAACTTTCTCCTCACTGTCTGTTTCTCCCCCCTTCCCTCCATCCCTCCCTCCCCGCTCTCTGTCCCCTGCTCCTGCCTTTTCTCTGTTTCTCACTTTCCTCCCTCTCTCTCTGCCTCGGTTTCTCCCCCCTCCTCTTCCTTCCTCTGTGTGTGTGTATCTGTCTGGGTCTTTCTGTCTGTCTGTCCCACGATGTGCTCTTCCCCCCCCACCCCTGTCCCCTCCTGGCAGGGCCAGAGGGGTGTCCCAACCTGCGTCTCTGCTCTGTTCCCACTGCCAAGGGGCACACCTTCGCTGGCTTTCCTGGTTCCGCCTTTGTGGTGTGGTGTCACAGGCCCCTGGCCGGCACGGAGCAGGGCCCTGACCTACGCCGTCGGACCGAGTGTAGTTGCTTGGTGCACGTCAGGGGGGGCGGCCCAGAACCGGACCCCCCTGGTGCCCCGGCTCCCCGAGAGCCGAAGCCCTCGGCAGCGTCGCGTAATTAAGACATAAAAGTCCCTGATTTCCTCTGCGTGTTGGCAAACACCGGCCGGCTGCTAATGCAATCCTTTCTTTTAATGGATTCTTGAATCTAAACGCTGTGTAATTAAACGTAATTAGCCACGTATGCCGTTCACTAGGTGCCGGCTGCCGAGTGAGGCTGGCAAGGATCTCGTTACAAAGCATCTTCTTTCGCGGACAGATTTCTTGTTCCCTCTCAGAGTCAAGTTCATTTCACTGAACGGTAAACCTGGCCCAGGGAAGGTGTCTGAGGAGGGGAGCCGGGGCCACGGAGCCGGGGCCGAGGGTCAGCACCTGGCAAGTGCGGCCTGCAGCCGGCCTGGCTGTCCCACCGGCCTGACAGCCCCCCTCGTAGGTGGAGTGGGGCTTTGGAGCGGGGTAGCCGAGGGAGGCCCCAGAGGGCACATCGGCTGGTGCAGGACTCGCGCCGCGTGCACCCAGGCCGAGCGAGAGGGGAGACAGGGCGCCTGGCGGCCACTTCCTGCAGCACATCTGCGAGGCACCTTGAGCTGTGCCCTCACTGGTGTGGGGACTGCTGGAGCTCCAGGTTGTCAGGACAGCCCCCTGGGGTCCTGGTCCCCGCTGGCCTGCCCCCCTCATTCCAACGCCCGTGGTTACAGTCACCCCCTATGCCTTCCCTGTACGCCATATACTGGCGTCTGTCCCCCCACCAGCCTGTGTGCCTAGGTCAGGTCCCAAGGCCGGGCTGCCACTCCGTCTCCCTGCCAGCCCCGGCCCCCAGTGTGCACCCCGACAGCATCCGGGGTCCCAGTGGGTGATGGGCCCAAACAGCCGCACCCACTCTCCAGCCTCACCTTTCGGCTCCTATGTTCCTCCTGGGGCCCGCGTCTGTGTCCTGTTACTACCTTTGCCGAGAGGGGGGCCACCAGGGCAGAGGTGCAAGGTGCTTGCTCAAGGCCACACGGTGGATAGAGGGAGGAGCTGCGCTTATCTTCAGGGCACAGATGGGGAAACTGAGGCAGAGAGTTTGCCAGGGTTGGGTTTATTGCCGTTCAGGTGCTTTGTCTTCGTCTCTCTCAGAGGGCTCTTCCCACCCACCTGGCCGCCCACCCTGCTGAGCCCTGGGCTCAGAGCTGCCCAGAGAAGATTCCCCTCCCCCACCCGCTCCGCGACCTGAGAGATGGGGGCCGGTCAGCAGCCTCAGGATGAGCAGAGACCCCTGCCCATCAGTCTGTCCGCGGAAGCCCTGGGCAGCTGGGAGGCATGAGTGCCATCCTGGGCGGAGGAAATGGCGAGGCACAGGGACGGCCAGAACCAGAGGTCTGCGAGACTTTGCAGAGGCCCAGGGAGTAGAGGCTGGCTGGGGCTCTGTGAGCCACATAGTGCATATTTCTTAAAATAAATTGATTTTGAGAGAGAGCGAGCAGGTATGTGCTGGGGAGGAGCAGAGGGAGGGAGACAGAATTCCAAGCAGGCTCTGCAATGTCAGTGCAGAGCCTGATGTGGGGCTTGAACTCAACGAACCACGAGCTCATGACCAGAGCCAAGATCGAGTCGGATGCTTAACTGACTGAGCCACCCAGGCGCCCCTGGCACAGTCTCTTCTGTTTACAGTAGCAAGGGGGCCGTACGGGGTGGGCGCCCGGAGCACAGGCGCAGTGATGGGAAATAGATGCCTTGTATTTGTCAGATTGTATGTGACTTTTTGTCATATGCCGTTATATAGCGTGTATACTAAGTACACTAAAGGGGAGCAGAGTGACGCATTTTCCACTGTGCACCACCCCCGCAGTCACCACCCAGGTAAGGATCCAGAGCATGGCCAGCACCTTCGATATGGTCCCCCAAGAAGTACCCATCTTCTGGTGTCTGCACCATAGAGACTGCTGCTACCCACTCCTGAGCTTGGCAGAAGCGGGTCATCCAGCCTGGGTCCCTTGAGTCTGTGGCGCTGCCCATGGGACCCAGCCACGTGCGGCTGCTGAGAGGTGCCGCCGTGCGCCTCCCACCATGCTTCCCCGCTGCCCTGTTGACGGCCATTTGTGCCGTGTCCCCTCGTTGCCGTCATGACTAAAGCTGCGTGGAACGTTCCAGTCCGCGTCTTTTGGTGAACACATTGATGCGTTTTTGTGGTGTGCACACCTAGAAGTGAAACTGTGGGTTGCTGAAGTGGCCAGGCCACGTGCAACGTTTTGGTGGTGCCGAGTGCGTTTCGGCACGGACGTGGGATAACACGACTCCTCAAGGCCCCGTCCGCCGGCTTGTGTCCGCGACGGCAGGAATGAAGCAGTCCTGCACCAACACGAGAGCTGTCCTTGCTCGAGTTGCTGACCCCAGTGGTGGCGGGGGTCACCACGCACTCGTCCCCTTGTTTCGTCTCCAAGGCTCTTGGGTTGGGGTGTCAGCAGCCCCGGGGAAGGTGGCTAAGTTCCCTTGCTCTAAAAGGACAGCCATTTTAGGGTAAAGTGCTTGGCAAAAACCAAACCCTTCAAAAGGGACGATTGGCTTTTAGGAGGTTGTCGGAACCACTTCCTTCCAGAGCAGGGTGGGAGCTTCCGAGGTGGCGACCTCGCGGCTGGGAAGGGGTGCTTCCAGCTGCCCGGGGAGCTGGGCTCAGACCTTGGGGTGATCTCAGCAGCAGGTCCTCGGCAGTGTGAGGTGGCAGAGGGGTGGCCCCCCCCCGCCACCAGGCCCCGGCGCACGAGCAGTGGGGAGGGGTCTTCTGGTCACCAGGACCCGGGCCGCGGCTCACAGCACACCTGCACACAAGGACGGGGTCCTAGCCCCTCCCACCACGGTCCAGACGGTCCGGGTGTCCCTAGGAGCCTCCCCGCCCCAACCCGGGCCCCTCCTGTGGCCGGGCCTCCAGTCCCATCGCACTTCCCTCCATCGTGCCCACCTGGAGCCCTGCTCTACCTCAGGACTCGGGCCACAGCCCCTCCTCCGGGGGCCCCAGACACCGGGTCCCACTGGTGCCGCGTTTCTGGTGCCGTCTCACTTCCCTTGTGCTCCGCGTCCATCCAGACCTCAGGAAATATTGAAGGAGTGGATGAAGGCTTTGGAAGGTTCTAGCCCCCCCCGAAATCTCAGCCAGAGAGCTGCTTTGCTAGGGACCCCCCGCCCTCGTGGTGTGGGAGCGACCTCAGAGGACAGTGACCGGAGGGCAGGGGGCCCCCAGGGTTTGGGCAGGAAGGCGCTCAGAGCCGATCGAGCTCATGGCCCTGCCGTCAGGGGTGTGACTTTCTGCCGGCGGCGAGGGTGGAGCAGGGGCCTGTGGTCACTCAGCTCTGACGGAAGGGGTTTGGAGAGGTAACCAGGTGGGGAGAAGAGGAGGGGAGTGTGCGCCCCGACGGGGTGGCTGGGATGGGGGGTGGGGGGAGGAGGGGGACATCCATTAACCAGGCGCAGAAGGTTCTGGAGGTTTCCCAAAGCCAGGCCTATACTAGATGCTGGGAGAAAGAGGGGCTACCCACGGTCTAACCTATGGCGCTGCTCTCCAGGCCCAGTGACGAGCACCACCCGGAAGTGAAGGCTGATGGGTACGTGGACGACCTGGCAGAGGCCGTGGACCTGCTGCTGCAGCACGCCCACCAGTGATGAGCCTTGTGGGACAGCCCCAGCCTCACCCCTTCCCCACCCCCACCCCTGCCCCGGGCCCGGACCACCCAAGGCCCTGCCCTCAGCCGTTGGCCCAGGACGGGCAGGTCAGAGGGTCCCAGCCAGGCACCTCGAGGCTGCCCACTTCCTTCCTCTGGCTCCCTCTTCTCACCGCCCGCCCCCCCCCCAGCCGCCCAGGGAGGGTTGTTCCTTCCGGGATGGGCTGTCCCCTAATAAGGTTGGGGGGTGGGGCAGGCCTCTCTGGGAGCCAGATAAGGAGAGTCCTCTGGGTGTGGGCTGGATGCGCTCGGGGAGCACCCCGAATCCCAGACCCAATGACTCCCCAGCTGTACCCGGTCCCGTAAACGCGCCACCTACCTGGACTCGGGGACATTTCCCCTCTGCCACACGTTCTCTGCGTGTGAGTGAGGAGCCTGGACAAGGCAGGGGCCTCCTGCACGGTCCGCACAGAGCAGGGCTGAGCCCGCCTCCCTGGGACCGTCCAGCGACCCCTGCCCACCTCCCGGCCCCCTCCTGGAGTCGGAGTGGCCACTTAGCACTCCCCCCACATCAGCTGTGACTGCCTTTCCTAGCCCATGAGTCACCTCGGAGCCAGAGGCTGGGGCGGAAGACTGCTGTCCTGCAGAGCAAGAGCTGTAACCGCAGGGATCAAGGTGCAGGCAGACAGGGTGCTTCTAACTCGACGGACTGGGGTGTGTCATGCCCAGTGTCTGCAGGGACAACCAAGGGTTGAATAAACTGTCTTGACCTACAGCTGACTCTGGCGTTGACTCAGAATTTGATTACGGGAGGGCCTGGGGGTGGGGGCGGGGCGCTGGGTAGGACCCGGCACTGGCCTGGTCCTGCCATGCACTTGAACCACCGAGCATCAGAGCGCCGGGGCTCCAAGACATCTTACCTGCCCCAAGCCCGTCAGGGAAATGGAGGTCCTGAGGGGACAGCAGGCCGCCCTTGGCCCCACGGTGGGGTGGGGGAGTGGGGGGTAGACCGGGACCAATGTTGACCTGCTGTCACGGGCGGCCCTGTGGATGGCGGCGGTGAGCCACAGGCTTCCGGGATCCGCTCACAGCCCGGGGTTCAGGTTTCAGAATCAATCAGCCCAACAGTAAACCTCAGATCAATCCAGAAGACCCGGACAGGTCCTGGGAGGCGACTTTGCATAAAGGAAGTCCTGGGCCTTCCCAGCAGGGTTCCCACTGAGGGCAGGCAGAGGCAGGATCAAAGGCTGGACCCTGAACCCGGAGTCCCCCTGGCAGGGACGTCCAGGGACCGCAGGGGCTGTGCTGTCACATTCCCCCCCCCCCCCCTCCGCAGGCCGGCCGCCATTAAATCGGGATTAAGAGGAACCAGTGGCCAAGTCTTTTCATCAAGATGAGAGGCCACCCGCGGGCGAGGGAGGAGGGGCGTGTGGCCTGTTAGCTGGAAGACATGCAAATCGCCTGCTCCCCGAGAGTCCCCCCAATTACGGCTGCCGAGGAGATCAGCTGCTCGCGGTGGGCTACGCTCACGGGGGCTTGGCGGGGGCAACGTCAAGGAGACGGGCCGGCCACGTTCCGGTCAGTTTGTCTTGTGGCTCTTCGGTCTTCGTTTTTCCTTCCTTTTCTGTTTCACGGGCTGCCCTGGCCTGCTGTCCCGGGCGGGGCCCCTCCGCAGACGGCAGGCTGGCGTTCTCTGTCCGTGGACAAGCTGCCGCCCAGGAGCGGGGACGGGGAAGGCGTCCGAGGGACGAGGGACGGCTCCGGGGAGCGCAGATGCCCACAGGGTCTGGTTGAAAAATGGGTTGCCCCTGGGCTGTGGATTCAGCAAGCCCCATTTTACAGATAAGGAAATGGAGGCCTGGAGAGCGAGGACCCGCCCACAGGCTGACATTTGGTAATAAGGGCAGGGCTGAGACTCGAACCAAGGTCTGACCCCATATCCATGTCATCTGTAGTCCCTCCGTGGGGGTGGCCTGTGGTGTCCCAGTGGCTGTGACTTTCCAGGTGAGCCACACTGGCGTCCTCTCTCTGGTGATATGTTCTTAGGACTGAAGTGCCTTGGCTGCCTCATCTGTAAAAGGGGGGCCTCCTTTCCCTCACAGGCCCCCCCCCGAGCCCCGCTGGGGGCCGGGCCCCTCCAGGACGCCCTGTCACCTGGCTGGGGATGGTGGCCCCTGTCCTGGTGCCACCCGTGGCGCTGGCCCCTTACCCCTGGACCCTCCCTCCAGCAGGGCGGGGGGACAGTTCTCAAGCCACAGACTGATGAAGCCATCGGCTACGGGTGGGGCCGGAGTTCAGGGCTGGCAGTGGCCTCACGACCCGACCCGTCTGCGGTCAGGAGTGCGCCCCAGAGCTGCCACCAAGAGATGGACCCTCGAAACCCAAGGAAGGCATCAGGCCGGCCCCCTGTGCCCTTCTCCCCGAGCCCTGGAGTGAGGCAGCGGCCCGGGCCCAGGCACGCTGCCCAGCAGGACATTCCAGGCTCTGGGGGTGACTAGCAGACCCCTTCTGGGAGGGGGCGGGGCAGACGGGGTGGAGAGGGGGACAGTCCATGCAGGGTCACCTCTTCGCAGGCACAAGGGCTTTACCTACTCCCAGACCTTCCAACACGAGCGTCCACATGGCACCCGGGAAAAACGGGTTCATACGGGGCTGCCAGTGGGGGGGGGGGGGGTCTGTGTCACCCAGTGGGGGGGGTGTCTGTGTGTCACTTCGTCTCCAAGTCCAGGGCTGGCTGGAGCTGGATGCCAAGAAAGTCCCAGGCGACCCCAAGGTGGGGCAGGGGCAGCACCCCCCCCCCCCAACCCAGCTTCCCCAGGAGGGAAGGGAGGCCGCGTGGCAGCAGGAAGGCCCGGAGGACATGACCGGAGACTCAGAGCCCAACCGCAGGCGTGCATGCCCGCCTCGGGGCCTGGGCCTTCCTGGGGGTCCTGCGCTGCACAGAGCTGGGGACACCTCGTGGGGGCTCACGGTGCCGCCTCCCACCTCAGCGTGACTACCCGGTGGGCTGACCGTTTCTCTCCCGCTGGAGTTCCCTGTTTCAACGACAACATACTGGTTGTCACTAACTAACGTCACTAAGGGTCAGACCACAGTTACTGCTGGGGGCCGCTTCCTTTCGGCCGTCTTTCCACGAGAAGGGAAAGGCTCTCGACACTCTCTGGATTGTTCCTGCAAGTCTGCTGGGGCACTGGGGCCCGCGTTCCCTCCGCTGCCTGACGTCAGACGCAGGTGTGGGCTGGCCTGGCGCGAGGGTCCGCGGAGGGCCTGACAGCCGGGCGGGGGGCAGAGTGCCACCCGGCGGGCCCAGCGCCCTGCCCCCGTGCCGAGGCCAGTGCGAGGCGGGGGCCCACCCAGGGCCACGGAAGGGGATGCGAGGGGCTGGAGTCTGTCTAGGGCCACTCTGTGCCCTCCCCCCTCCTGGAGAAGCCGGGGGACATGAGGCAGGGTCCCTGGGCGTCCCCGCCACCCCCAGCTTCAGCCATGCCTCACCTGTGTCGTAAATTAGGTGTTCTTACAGCCTTCTGGGACAGGGTCTGCTGCTAAGAAGAAAACACCGGAGAAAAGTCCGGAGTGCTCCGGTGCCTCACACCCAGGGAGCACCCGCAGGCGCTCGGCGGGGGGTGTTCTAGGCAAAAACCCTGAGCTCACATTCCGCAGGCAAACGCCCGAGAACTTCAACAGGCTGCGAGCGTCCTGAACCCCCCGAGCGTGGCCCGCCGGGGGCCCCTGATCCGGAGCGCGAGGCGCAGGGGCCGAGCACCCCGGAGCCCACTCTGGCCCAGGCCGCACGCGCTCGCCTCCCCCTGGCTGCGGCCAGGCGAGTGGGAGCCGAGCTGCCCTCGCCGGGTGCGGAGCCCCCTGCACCGCGTCCTCGCCTCGCTGGCGAGTCCCCGGGCCGCAGGGCTCCGGGCCAGGCCTTCCCGGCAGCAGCGTGACCCGGAGCAAACGGCCGTGTCGCCTCGCCTCTCAGTGCTGCTGAGCGTGAAGCAAGCTCCGTGACGCGGGCCCCGTGAAAGGCGGGTTCCTCCACCAGACGGGACCTGGAAGTCGCACGCAGGGGGCACCTCCACCCTGCCGTCCTAGGGTCCCTGGCTCCCGGCTGCGGTGAGGGCCCGGGCCCCTCTTCCTCCAAACACGTGCACACACACGTCACCTGGGCTGCCTGGACGCTGCCTCTAGGAGGGCTCCCTCGTGACCGCGGCTGTGGCCGTGGCCGTGGCCAGCCCTCCTGCTCCCGGTGGCTCACTCAACCGCCTGCATCTGAGCCTCTCGACAGCTCAGACGTGTCAGCTCTCCCCATTTTACAGGCCCGGCCCCGAGGCTCGGAGGGGACAGAAGGGTCCAGGCTCTGACCCTGCCAGCCCAGGGCCACTGCTTCCGTGGGCAGAGGCAGGACCGCCAAATTCCCCGCACCCGACAAACCACACGGCAGGCTCCCCGCGGCTGGGGAATGAACCAGGAAGCTTTATTTACACAGTAAGAGTAACAAGCAGATTCCTGAGAGACTAGAGCGGCGCTAGTGCAAGACGGTCGCGGCCCGCGTCGGGGGAGGGCAGCCGCGGCAGACGGCGGCGCCCAGACGGCTCTGCCCTGGGCAGGACCCGGCCCCGTGCGCTCCGGCGCCACCCTTCCCGAAGCTCTGCGGCACCGACAACGTCCAGTTCGGGGAGGCACGCTACAGCCCCCAAATCGCCCCGCGAGCCGCCACCGAGCCCCGGGGACCTCTCCCCCGCGCGCTGCACACACAACGTATTTGCCGAAGAGACTATGCTAGAAGATCAGACTATCCTACCTAGGCTACACCATCTCTGCCATGGTCTGGGTTGGTTGTTTTCTTCTTCTTATTATTACCATCTTTTTTCTTCTTTTCTCTTCAACGATTAGGCAGTATTTTCTCAGACTGGAGCCAAGGGGAGGGGTTTGACCAACTATGCGGAAGTGGCAAGCTGTGGCATCACCGCCCGCGCGGGGAGCACGGCGCCCGGCCGAGCCCCGGTGCCTGGGGCACTGCTCGCGCCCAGGGCCCAGGCCCAGAGCGGTCATCGGTCAGGGGACAGCCCCAAGGGCACAGTGCCTGTGACTCGAACCTCCGGGGCAGACACGGAGGCGCAGCTCACGCCTCCAGGGCTGTGAATTAAATCCCCAGGAAGCTGGCCCAGACCCGCGGCGCCCGGACGCCCCCCTCCCCGGCAGCATCAGGGAAATCGCACGCCCCCCCCCGCACCAGCAGACCCATCTGAACATTTCGGTTCCTTTTCTTTTTTTCACGTGGACTTTTCCTTTATTTAAATTTTCTTCCAGCGTACAAATTCACACAACTTTCCTGCTACAAAAATTTTGATGAGAAGTAAGGCTTTCTGAGAATGAAAATCTACTATGATCAGAAGAAGCACCCCTGTGGCCTGGATGTCGGGTCTGCCCGCGGCACCCGTGCTGGGCCCGGGGCTCCCCCGCAAGTAAGGCAAGAGGGTCTGCGGTCGTGTAAACCGTGAGGCTGCAGCCCTGCCCCCCCCCCCCCCCCCCCCCGCCTGGTCCTGCGGGCGGCCGGCAGCCCCAGCAGGCGGTTGTGGAAGGTGCTCCTTCTGGAATAGGTAGGGGTGCCTCTCCTCCCCACCCAGCTCTCCTGGAGCCACGACCCTGCTTTTGTCATTTCGGGGGGGGGGGCCCGGGGCGGGCAGGAGGGGCCCTCCCTCCTGGCTCTGAACTTCCCTGAGCTCCGTTCAGGGGCAGGAGTTCGCGGGCGCCCGCACAGGGAGCCTGCAGCCCACCCGCCGGCCCATGGGGACGGCCATGCGCAGAGGGAGCCCCGAGACCGAGCTCCTGGGGTCTGCAGGGGGGGGCGTGCCCGTGCCTCCCTGGACGGTGCAGGGGCACCTCCTCCACGGGGCTGGCTCTCTCCAAACACGAAATAACTGGGGCACTTCCTTCTCGGAGCAGAGGGGACATGGCCGTCCCCCCCCCCCCCCGCCAGGTGTCGTGGGCTTGGGCTAGGAGCTTTGCCGGAGTGGGAGCAGCAAAGAGGGGCCTGCGGAGGCCGGAGGACCAAGGCTTGCCGTGGTCTGGGGTCCCTTCTGCCCGAAGGTGCCCCGGGACTGGGTCCAGGAACCCATGGGACGGGCCTGGGAGGAGGTGGGGAGGATGGGCCGTTTCACAAGCTCCACGGCCGTCCGTCCTTGCCACCAGGCCTGGGAAGGGAGGAGGGGGCAGGCAGGGTCTGAAGGCAGGCCACCCACCCCCCCCAGCCCTGTGACACCCCCCTGCCACGCACCTCCCCACCTGACCCTGAGGAAGGGCGGCTGGGGGTCACCGCTCAGGCCCACCCGGCCCTGCGCTCGCTCCCCCACTGCGGTGGAGAGCAGCACTTGGGGCCCTGCCCCTCCTTCCACAGGAAGGAGGGCTCCCTCTGCGGCCACCCAGTGGGGGGGGGGGGTGCCACCTGCCCCGGGCTCTCTGAGGCACCAGCATGTGCTCTCTGAAACCATGTGCTGCCGGGTGTCACTCAGCAACCGCCCCGGCCCCTGCCACGTTTGCTCTAAGAGGCGGCCTCCGTGACCCTCTGGCTGGGGATCAGGGGAGGTGGCGTGTCTGCCCAGAGCCACGAGCTCCCTGCTTTGGCTCTCCAGGGTCCCCAGGGGACGTGCCTTTGGTGGGAGCCACTGAAGCGTAGCTGGCTCTGGCCCGGGTCCCACCCAGTACCACACGACCACTGTGCTGTCCGACCTGAGGCCCTTCGACACGACCTCGGGGCGGGGGGGACACTGGGATTTTCTCTACAAGCATCTTATGGCCGATTTTTAAGAACTGCCATCTAGACACCAGAACTGGAGCTTCTGATCCAGTAAAGAAGTGAAGGTGTAAGTAAAGTTTCCCAAAGAGGGTCTTTTCGTGAGAACCACGTGTACTCACGCTGCGGACATGAGGCGTCCACTATCCACAAAAGAGGAGCAAAAGCAAGGAGGCTACGAACGTGCCTTTGTTACATATCAGCAAACTCCAGAGGATACACCAGTTATTTTTAGCCATATGAGGAAAGGAGCCACTCGCTCATAGGCCGACCCAACTGCCATTGTCTGCGGAAGATGCCAGGTTTGCTACAAGCCAGACTCCAAGAGAGCAGAGCCCATGAGGGGTGTCTGCCAGCCAGGCTGCCTGAGAGCAAAACCTCAGGGCGTCGGGGGTCCCCGTGGGCGGGGAGCCCACAGGGGTACGGGGAGCTGGGGGCACTTGGCACACCCTGCTCCGCCCACCAACCTGCAGGGGTGCTCATCCGGAGGTGGCCGGTGTGCCCGATGGAAGCCGGCAGTCCCCACCAGACAGTGAGAACGTGCTAGAATTCTGCAGAGGGCCCCGCGCGCCCCCAGTCTGGCCCCCCAGCATGGCCGACAGACCTCCACCCCCGGAATGTGCACAGGGCCCGGTGCACCTGCTCCCGGCTCTGCCTCCTGAGAACGTGTTCAAGGGGTTCCCATTACTGGGACATCTCTCCACTCACCTGCATCAACTAAGCTAAGCACTCAGTGACAGTTTCGCCACAGAGAATGGCTGTCATGTGCCAACCTGCCTGAGCGGCCCCCAGAGGGGCGGAGAGCCACGCGGTCAGGCTCTCGGCGCCACAGGACGGCCAAGGAGGTCTATCTTTTCGGCCAACAGATCCACCCACATCTACCCGACGCAGACGCTCTCTCATGAGAGGCCCCCAGGGTTCCAGCATGGGGAGCACCCTCAGCACCCCGGGGCCTCTGTCTCCCGCACCTGGAATTAAGGCCAAATGGTTCCGGTGTTACTACAGAGGGAAGCATCTCCCGAACCTTCCCAAGTCTGGAGCAGGGAGACCTGGGGCAGAAGGCACGGAATAAAACGGAGTGAAAGAAGCTGTGGGGCCGACTCCCCAAAAATCAACCTGAGCAGGAGGTCGGAAGGGCCTGACGCCACCGGACGGCCCTGAGCACAAGCCCCCCAACCAGCCCCCCTGGGAATTGCACGCGCAGAGCGTCCAGCCCTGCGGGAGACGCGCGAGGTGCCTGGTGGGGGGGTGGCTGGCGAGGAAGGGGGGTGGGGGGGGGAGGGGCCGCCCGTGCTGGTGAGGGGCCGGGGCCGGGCCCTCGGGCGGGACAGCCTCTCCGGGGCCAGAGCGCAGGCTCCCTGGGTCCCGATGCCCTCAGGGAGCTCCCGGGGGTGGGGCTCCCCGCGTCAAGTGCCCGCCCGGCGCCCGCTGCCCCTCAGTTGTTCTCTATCTGCTCGATGTCCAGCTCGCCGTCCAGGGAGCAGGGGCTGCTCCCGGCCACCCCGCGGTCCCGCCAGGCCGTGGCCGGCCCCCAACTCCTGCCACAGTGCTCGCCCAGGGCGCAGCCGCCCGACTCCTCGCAGCACCGCTCCTCCTTGCAGGCGAGCTGGTCGTCCAAGGCCGGGGGCAGAGGCTCGGGGACGGGGGTCCCGGCGGGGGTCCTGCCCCCCAGGCTGGAAGCCGAGGCCGAGAGCAAGGCGGTCCAGGACCTGGTGCTGCTGACGTGGAGGGCGAAGGGGCTGTGAGGGCCGCAGTCCTCCATCCCAGAGCTCAGGCAGCTGAGGCTGCTGAAGGTCTGACAGTTCTGTGGGGAGACAGACACACAGGTCACTAGGAGTCACGAGCCTGTCCGGAGCCCAAGGGCCACACTCCCCGGCGAGCCAGGCCTCAGCTCCCACGGCTGTCTGGCGATGGGGTCCTCCGGGCGGTGGAAGCCCACCAAAGCCCGGCCGCCCCCACATCTGGGCAAGGACGGGGGGGCCATCGACAAGTTGGTACGAACACTTGGGAACAGAGTGACGCCAAATCCAGTTACTCGCCCACAAATCAGGGAAGAGTGTGAGCCTGCTCCCGCCCAGTTGTAGGGAAGCTGCAGTGGACAGGGCAGGCTCGGAACCCAGGGGGCCACCTTCGGAAAGGTCGTCTGATCAAAGTGCACCCCGTTCCTCAGCAGGCACTTTCCCTTCTAGGATTTCTGTCTTCAGAAAACAATTCAGGCTGCACGCGAAAATGCACCAAAATGAATATTCCTTGTCACACTGCTGAGTTGAAAAGAAGAGAGTAACTCAAATGCCCCACGGTCACCGTTCCATAAAGCTTGTCTCTGCAGACAAGGGGAGGCGAAGACTCTCTGGCCTTGGAAGGAACACAGCCTTCTAATTTGCAGACCTACTAATAACCTCGGCCTGAGGCTCCAATGCTGCCCCCCCTCCCCCCGCCCACCACGACCCAGAGAGGGAGATGGGGCCAGGAGGGCAGAGCTGGCGTCCTGGCCTGGTGCACATCACAGCCTTCCGGGGACCCTGAGCCCCCCTCCTCCCCCCGGAGACGCAGGCTCTCTAGCGGGGGTCAGGTCAGGGAGGTCACATCCCCCTGTACCCCGACAGGCCCTGGATGGGGAATGGTACAGCTCTCTGGAGGGGAGGCAGGGCTCGGCCTCCCCGGCCTCGGCTGCCTCGCCTGTGAAGAGGCAAAGGTCCCTACCTGTCCTGCAGCGCTCTGGCAAGGCCCGGTGGCAAAGTGTGGCTCCCAAGAGCTCCCCACCCACCAAGAGCTCCCTCTCTGTGGGGCCAGCCCGGGGCCACCCCGAGTGGCGGGTGCAGCTCACACAGGATCCATGGGTGCTTGGGGACACCTGTCGTCCGGACGGGGCAGGACCGGCCCTGGGCACAAGTGGGTCAGGCTAAACGCCTGCTTTCACAACAGAGCAAAAATCAGGGCAGAGGCCTGTGATGGGTAGAGGTGCCCACCGCCTAGCCCTGGGGACCCCCCGCAGGACCAGCAGCAACGCAGTCTCTTTTCAGAGGGCACTCGAGGGAAGTCATGTGCTGGAGGGCAGGGGACAGGAGCCTGCGTGCTGCGGGGCACAGGGGAGTGAGGGCGGGGGCCTGGAGACCACAGGCTGCAGTGTCTGTAGGTCACTCTGAAATAAAGATGGCCACCGGCTGTCACGGCAAACAAGCTACCGAAACAGGCTCAGCAAAAGGACAAGACAAGCAGGAAGTGTCGTGTGCATGCTTCATTGCTCCCGAACCCTCCAGAGCAAACCACTGTGCAGGGTTTGCTGGTCTTGGAATCTTTTGATTAACAGAGAAGGCTGAGGGCTGGGGTGCTGGGGGGCTCCGGGGAAGAGCGCTAGGACTGAGGAGAGAAGGGCCACTGATCAGCCCCGCGATGCTGGCCCAGGCCGTGGTGGAAGCCAACCCTCCCCCCCCCGCCCTGGTCAGGACCCCACCAGATTGGGGGCCCTCAGTCCCCGGGCCTGGGCCGCTGCGGCCTCAGTCTGCGTGCACACATTCCCTTCCGGCCACGGCGCAGGGCTGGAGACAGAGGCTCCCAGATCACAACGCAGCCTGATGCAGCGGGCGGGGGCCCCAAATGCCTGCAACGGCGGGGGGGGGGGGGGGGGGGGGCGGGTCTCTGGGGCCTGCTCTGCCTCCCAGCCGCTTTCCCGTCCTGTCTGGATGTGAGCTAGGACAGGAGAGCTGGGCAGGGGGCACGGGACAGAAGGCAGATGGCCTTGCCCGCACAGGGCTGTCCACCTTCCCCCTCAGCCTGGGTCCCCGCTGCCCTGGACAAAGGAGGCGCAGGGGCAAGGTGCAGACGTGTCGGGGAGCCCTGGCACCCGGGGGGCCAGACCGAGCACCCCCACCCCAGCCGAGCAGGCTGTTTCTTTGCCCTGTAGGAGTTGCGTCGCATCAGAATTGGGCGCCTGGGTGGCTTAGTCAGTTGAGTGTTCTACTTCAGCTCAGGTCATGGGTTTGAGCCCTGCGTTGGGCTGTGTGCTGACAGCCAGCTCAGAGCCTGAAGCCTGCTTCAGATTCTGTGTCTCCCTTGCTCTCTACCCCCTCCCCCACCATGCTCACGCTCTGTCTCTCAAAAATAAATGTTTAAAAAAAAAGTAAAAGTAAAAAGTGCCCCATGTACACAGCAGCGATGTGATATCTGTTACAAAATAACAATAACAATGTCCGACGGGAACCAGATGTGCAGCAAAGCAGTCACAGGTAACGCCCTTGGGGACCAGCCATGTCTGCTCAGCCCAGTGTGCGGAACACCCGAACAGGTGGCAGTGGCTCCTGTGAGCCGTGACCTGGAAACAGCGGGGAACGTGGCATAAACCCAGACCAGAAATGCTCACCTTCCCTGGCTGCGCTGATCACCCCACCTGACCTGGTGGATTCAAGGTGCAGGCGGGGGAGGGTGCAGGCCTCTGCGCCTGACTTTATGGCAAACGTGTCGGGGTGAGTCCAGGCACGAAGCATGTTAAACACTAGCCACACCAGCAGCAGGGTGCTGGGGACCCCAGTTTGCTGGAACCTTCCAGCGTTTGCCTCAAGTATTCCCTAGAGAGAACTGAGGCCACGCAGGCTACTCCAGTCCTGGGCTCTGCCACGAGTGAGTCCCAGGGCTTCAGACAAGACGCTCCAACCCACGGACGTCGGCCCACCTGCTGTGAGGGTGGCCATGGCACCGGCGTCCAGCCTGCTCCGGCTGTCTGGAATAACAGGGTCCTTTTTGCTTTGAAGCAGGCAAGAAGCAAACCCCAGGCTGTCACTGAACCCCACCCCCAACAGTCCCCAAAGGCACCTGCTCCTTGGCTGCAAACCCAATGTCACCTTGAAAGCTTTGTTGACTCAAAACTCAGCCACCTAAGCCACAGGAAAAACCGAGACCCGCCCGCCGAATGCCTCGGCGGGTGGCATGCCCCACCTGCCGGGGAGGAATGCGACCGACACAGTGAGGCAGTGTGTGTGTCCTGCCCAGCCTCCGCCCCTGGCTGAGCCCGTGCCTGCCGACACCCAGGGCCCACAGCTGCCCTGTGCCCTCCATGCCCTGGGGGCAGGGTCCTGTCCCGGCTCACACTCAGGGACACTGCAGAGGCCCGTCGGAGTCCTGGAGGCCCATGTGCCCTCAAAACTGTCTGTGCAAAGCTGCAAAGTTCAAAGCGCCCCGTGAGCACAGGAAATGGTTCCTGGGTGACAGGGCTGCTCCAGTACCAACAGTCCCCCGCCCCAAACTCTGTTCTCTTAAGGCCCAGCCCTGGCCCGGGGATGGGCCACCCACTTGGGCACAAGCCTGCTCAGGTCACAAGGATCAGAAAGAGTGATCGGTGTGGCCTCAGGCCCGTGGCTGGAGTGCTCAGCACCCCAGCGCTAGAGTCTGGGGCGACTTCCGAACGGAGCCCCTAAATGTCAAGATGTTCCCATCAGACCTGCCAGACCTCAGCTCTGGCCAGCCACATTCCAGCCTGCCCCCGCCCGTCTTCCCAGGGCTTCCCAGCCAGGAACGGCCGCCCCCCCTTCCACATGCCCTTTCTGTGCAGACACTCACTCCTACACCCTCCTGTGCGGGAGCCCCCTGGCCCAGCCCTGGGGACAGAGACGAAGACCCATCAGACCCTGGGTGGCGATGGCAGCTTACTCTGCGCCCAGCCCCCCACCCCCAGCCCGGGCTGTGAGGAGTTGGGGGGGGCACAGCCCCCCCAGCTGACAGCATCTCTGCCTTCAGCTCCAAGCTAAAGCCCAAACCCCACCTGGGAAACTGCACCGGCTCAACAGACACCTGGCCCCATCCTGCCGCACACGCCGACCCGGGCCACGAGCTCACTCCCCGCTGCGGTGTTGCCGCTCTGGTGCCAGCCTGGAGGAGCCCGAGGGAGGACTCCAGAACCATCTCCTAGCTGAACTGCACCGCAGCTTTATCACTAACAAGCCGGGGCACAGGGCTGGCGGGAAGACCACAGACTTCTCCCGAGAGCGGGAGGAGGCTGGAGGTTGCGGGGGCCCCGTGGACGAAGACAGGGCACCGGCGGGCTGTCCGAGAGCCGCGTCCGCATTCCCGTGACTGCCCTACCCCAAGGACGACAGGTGGGTTTTCTCAGTCCCGCCTCCCTGGGCCCCTGCAGGCGGAAGGCCTGATGGAGGGGCTCGGACGGAGCTCCGGACTTGGAAGAACCGGGCTCAAGTCTAGGCCCCCCGCTGCTGACCCTCCAGAAACACAGGTCCTGCTCAGAGGCTGACCCCAGGGTCCCGACACGAGCCAGCCGGCCCGGCGTTAATGGGGAGCAGCGGTCGCCGGACCCCCTCTCCGTGGACGTTCTGTGTCCTGAGCATAGCGTCCACACGAAGCTACCCCGAGCATCGAGCCAGGGCAAACCCGCCTCCCCGCGGCGCACCCCTGCTCAGAGAAGGGGTGAGGCAGAGCCTCTCCACTCCTACCGCTGCCAGTGTTCTAGACGGACGCGTTTGCTTCTCCTCCTGTTAATGCCGTCTCCCTCTTTTTCATCCAGTTCCACAGGTCACTTTGTGCTCCAGAGTTTTAGGGAGCTACCTCATTTCCAGAAAAGGGGGCATGAACAGGCCCAGCCAACAAGTCAGGATGGTCACGCCAGGTCCCCGTCCTGGCCTGGGGCTCCTGGAGCCCTGCAGCCGTTCTGAAGTCCGGGGCCCAAGGCTCTGCCTAAGCAGAGGCTTTTCCTCCCTCGGACGGACACTCTCACGGAAACAGAACTCTCCAAGTATCCAGAAAGCGCCGGCGGCCTAGAAATTTCCTAAGTCTCATTCATGCTTGAAGTTGGCACAG